TTTTTTTTTTTTTTTTTTTTTTTTCTTTTTCTTAGTACCAGGGATCAAACTCAGAACCTTGAGCTTGTGCGGCAGGCAGCAGAACCACTGAGCTAAATCCCCAACCCCCCAGCCCTTTATATTTTTATTTTGAGACAAGATCTCATTAAGTTGTTCAGGTGGGACTCAAACTGGTGATCCTCCTGCCTCAGCCTCCTTGAATGCTGGGATTTCAGGTGTGTGCCACCGTGTCTGGCTTAAGAGGTCACATGATTATGGTCACTCAGTCCTGGCCTGACAGAGTCAGCACCCTGTAAAATGTGGCTGACTGAGCCATAGCACTTCGGATATCCTTGCTCCAGGAATCAAGTTCTTCAGCCTGGAGGTGTCACATGTCACCTCCTCCCGCAGTTCATGGGCCAGAGCTGCTCACCCACCTGCCCCTGCCCATGGGGTCAGTAAGTACTGTGCATGTGCCAGCTTTGAAGTTGGGGGGACTCAGAAATTTCAGCATATGGCATTAATGACTATGCCTAACAGAAAAATAAAAGAAAGCCTTGCTGCTTTCAAATCTCCATTTTCTCAGCTGTTAAGTAGGGCCAGGTGTGGTGGCGCATGCCTGTAATACCAGCACTTGGGAGGCTGAGACAGGAGGATCGCTGTGAGTTTGAGGCCAGCCTGGACTACCTAGTGAGACCCTGTCTCAAAAAAAAACAAAAACCCAGAGCTAGGGGTGTAGCCCAGTAGTAGAGTACTTGTGTGGCATACATGAGGTCCTGGGTTCCAGGCCTCAGTTTCATTAAAATAAACAATAACAACATTAGTGCCAGCCCTCTGTATTTCCACACCCACCAACTAACAGCAGATCAAAAATATCTGGGGGAGGGCCGGGGCTTTAGCTCAGTGGTTCCACCGCCTGCTTCGCAAGCGCAAGGTCCCAAGTTCGATCAGTGGTACCAAAAAATACATATTTGGGGGAGGATTGCCTGTGCAAAGAATACGTTTGGACTTTTGTCATTATTCCCCAAACAATGTAACATCACGACTGTCACCCACATTTACACCGTGTAAGGTTTCTGTGTTGCCCAAGGTTGATTAGAGACAGGGGTTCTCAGGGGCACAGTTGGGTTATGTCCCCCGTGCCGCAAAAATAAAAATAAATATAAATAAATAAAAATGAGAGGAATACTGCCTGCACGGCTGGTGTAGATTCTGTACAAATATTTTTTTTTCTTTTTCCCCCTCTGTGTACTGGGGAGTGACACCCAGGCCTTCACACTGAGCTACCTCCCCAGCTTCCCACCTTCCCTCCTTATTCTTATTAATTGATTTTTTTCCTGGTGAGACAGGGTCTCGTGTTGTAGTCCAGGCCTCGCGTTGCTCAAGGTTGGCCTCGAACCCCTAGTAACCCTCCTGCCGCTTTCCCCGCAGGTGCCCGCCCTCGTTTCTCTCCGCCGCCAATGCCGCTGGGACTGGGGCGGC